ACTTTTTTTTTTTTTCCTTTTTGGTGGCTTGCATCCTTAGGTAGGGAGGATGGTACGAACAAAATCCTAACAGACTAATCAGGATAATGGACAACCTATAAACCCATCGAACCAACCACCAAATCAACCTCTTTTTAATCAAGATACTTTGCTACAATAGTTAAGGGATTTTGTGGCAATGATAGTAAAAGAGAGAGTAAGGAAGTTAGAGAAAGATCTAAGAGGTAAAAGAGTTGTCGAAGAACCTGAAGAAAATGAGTTCATAGAATAAACAGTGGGTAATTCTAGAACCTGCAAAGGTTCTGTAACATCTCAGATTTTTGGCCTAGTAATGCAAGGAATAGCTTAAAATGGATAAGCTACTAAGTCCTTATTAGCCAAAGTTCTGAAAACGTAAAAGGAAGGTTAAAAGGCTTTTAGGGACTAAACTGTAAATTCAAAAAGTTTTAGGGACTAAAATGTAAATAAAATTAGAGACTTTAGTATTCTAGATTTGTAAAAATTATTCTCTTATGCCAATCCTACATAATTTTGCCCAAAAAAAATCCAAAAATGAGCTTAGATTAATGAAAATCGAATTCCTCCAAAAATCAGTTTGGTCGAAAAGGGGGGTTTATAACTCTAAAAATCCTAACTTTAATTCCAATGCTTCCAATGTTTGCTCTTTAGTTTACCCTACACTATTTTTCATTTTAAACCCATTGGAAGCATTAGAATTATCAAAATCACATCCTAGGATACCAAACTTGAACTAGCCGAACACTACCCTTCCTTAAACAATCATAAATTCTTTCACATATCAACACAAGACTACTTGAAACAACCTTGAGCCATTGTGTTTTATTAGATATAACATCAAAATCATCCTCCTCTAGCTCTTATTAATTTCAGCCAGCAACTCCCCTAAGGGGATTCCACATTTTTCAACTATCAAACTCAAAAATACAAAGCAATATACAAGGTAGAATATGAAACTAATCTTATATCCAAGCTTAGGTAGATGGTTTCCTCTTGATTATGCTTTAAGAATCAATTTTGCAAGAATTTTCCCTCTTCTTCTCTATCTTGGCCGAAATGAAGGGGGAGGGAGTATCTATTTATAGCCAAAACGTTAGCTTAAATGGACTAAAATGCCCTTTAGTAACTAATAAAAAGGCGGATAATAGATTAGCAATGACCTACTGTTACCACCAACAAGTTTAAGAAAGTTCTGATGCGAAGCACATGCTACTGACTAGCCACTCTTTTCACGTACTTTTTAGAAGTTTATAATTTTTTCATTTATTTTATAATTCTGATTTTTTAACTTTTTATGATTATGATTTTAAAATTAAAAGATTTTGAATTATAGTAACAAAAATTTCTAAAAAAATATAATAAAAATAATTAATTCTTCTAATAAAATTGTATTAATTTTTATATAATTATTAATTTAAATTTAAAACATTAATATTAATATTTTTATTTTTATTTTAATATTATTTTATTTAAAAAAATAATTATTGAAATTCGTTTTATTAATTTGAATTTAGAATGTCTACAATTTCAAAATCTCAAATTTATCTAACCTCTTATAAGAAATAATTATTACTTTTTCATCAAGAAAACAGTTGATTGTGTAAATGATTAAAAAAGGTATTTGAAAAAATCAATGTGTATTTTTTTTGTGAACGTCGATGTACATTTTTTATAAATAGTTAACTTAATTAGTTTTCTTAATTTATATATATTAGTTATTTAACTCCTACATTTAGTGTTAGAGTAAATACAAGAAAATAATAAATTAATTACACCCTTAATAAAGTATAAATATCTTTGATTTTCCTTGTATATGTAGCCTAAAAAACATTCAGGTAATACTTTAAAAAAGTTATTTCAATTACTCAATCTTAACCGTTCACAAAATATAATTGAGATATGTTGTAAGGAAATTTTAGTAGTCTAATGGAACCCCTAAAGTGCATTGTTTTATGAATATAATTGTTTATTGTATTTATAATTTTGATAATTTATTGTTTTGATGGTATATTATTGTTTTCTTAACCTAAAACCTAATTTTCTCATAAGGTTTATTTTAGAAATAGTTATTTCAGTTATTCAATCACAGCCATCCATAAAATATAATTGACATTTGCTTATCATATTTGGAGGCGAGCCATCCGTTGTAGAGGAAATTGGGTGGTTGAATGAAACTCCTAAAACACTATTCCATCCTACCCGTTCAATAATTATAACAAATATTTCTATATCATATCTCGAGGTGATTTGTCCGTTTTAAGGCAATTTGAATGGTTTAAGGAAGCTCTCGGCGCCCACCGTCTTACTAGAAGATGGTTTTGATAATATATTGTTTTGATGGCATCTTGTTTTCTCGACTTGATATTTGATTTTTTTACCTACAAAATGCCCCTAGCTTATATACATTAAGACATCAACTTATGTAAATGTATCTTCGTCTTATTTTATCCGTTCCAGTTTTTGTGAAGAAATCAACCATGAAATTTGTTGCGGATGAAGAAGAACAAGATGACAACACTACTAACACAAAGCTTTGCTATTAGAAAGAAATCAAATCAACAAAAAATACCAAAAAGGTATTAAATTTTCTTGCTTTTTTGTTATCAATGGTTTGGTATGATTCATATTTCTTTCAATTCAAAATATTTGATTCCCTATTATTTCTACCATTTTGTAAATTTGAAGCTAGCGATTTTTAGATCCTCTTTCATGAAGGTTGCTCCTTGCTTGATGAGTTCATAGTGGTTTTCAATGGCAGTGGGTGATGGTTTTGGCTACAAGTTATATATTCATTTGTTATATAACATACGAGTATGCTTATTTTCTTAAAAGAAATGCAACATAATATGTTGTATGTTTATTTGTTTTTCTCTATTTATAATTTCAGACGAAAATATGTGACGAAAATAAGTTTTTTTGTGATAGTGAAAAAGTTTTTTTTTGGCAGTGTTAATACATATTATAATTCAAAAATTGTGTTAGGCTTTCATGGTGGTACCAAACAAATTTTAGGAGCCCATTGCCACTTCTACTTGTACTCTCATTTTCATTTCCACAGAAAACTCTTCCAATGTATCAAACATACCCTAAAACATTTTACTGAATGTGAAAACACTTTGCAGGCTGGCTAGCCAAATGCTCTCACAGCCTTGACGAAATAGTTGCTTAAGCCAGATTTGCAATATTATTGTTTGGCATATATCTCAATCCCAACCTACTTTTCCAATGTTGAGTCCTAATATATAAAATATTACATCCGGTCTTTAATAAGAGCTCATTTGATTTTTATTTTAGTTCTAAATATAAGATCCCAATTCGTTTTATTTCTTGTATTTATTCATTTATTTCGAAGGTCGTTCTTGTAATAATGATAATTATAACTAATACACTTGATTAATAAGGATACTTTAGGAAAAAAAACACCTATTTATTATAAATGACTAACTTAACTAATTTTTTTAATCTACTCAAATTATTCAACTAGATCTTATGTTAAAGACCGGAGATAGCATAAGAGTTATTTTGACATTCAATTTGGTCCTAAATATAACACCCTAATTTGCGTCATTTTTTATATTTATTATTTTTTTTCCAAAATATTTCTTATAATAGTTGCATATATTAAATATTCTATCAAATAGTAATTCTAATTAATACACATAATTAACAAGAGTATTCTAGAAAAGATAACACCTAGTTATTACAAATAACTTATAAAATTTTTAATTTATTCAAATTAGTCAACTAACTCTTATATTAAACACCAGAAGAACCACTATGATCTTCAATTTGTCTATTCTAAATTGCCTTTGTCTCATCGTCCTCTTTCTAGTATATTGTTTATCCTTCAAGAGCTCATTAATTGTCACTTTACTAATCGTTGTTCATCGTCAGTGTCGCCAACAGTTCAACGGGAATGCTCGGACTGTTCCACCCTAGCCGCAGGTGACTGTTGGCCGCGATTGGAGTGGTCAAGGCCGATTCTTCTCTGACCAAACCAGAGAGGGCCAGGAAAGGTTAGCAGCCAGCTCGTGGGCAGAAAATTCGGGGAGAAGGAAGAAGAGGGCACGGTAACGCTGTCTTTCCATATTTTGAAATCGATCTATTGATATGTCTGTAAAAATTTTAATGTTAAATATAAAGACCCAATTCATTTTGTCTTTTTGCATTTATGTATATTTTTTCCAAGATAGTTCTTGTAATTATAATAGTTCTAACTAATACACTTGATTAGCAAGAATATTTTAAGAAAGATAATACCTATTTATTACAAATAACTAATTTAACTAGTTTTTTTAATCTGTTTAAATTAATCAACTTGCTCTTATATTAAAGACCAAAGATAGTATTATTTAATAAACTCTATCAATCATTTTATATATAAACTTACTTTTCAATTAGTCATCTAAACAAGTTTTAATTTGTCAAATTAACTTTTATAAAAATAAATCCAAACATAAAAGTACACCACACTAATATACATTTGCAAAAATCAAATAAAATAAAAATTATTTTTTCCACCGCTAATCCAAATACACCCAAATATAATGATGTAATCCTGAAGTGGCATCAGAATTGACAACCAATAATTATATGAGAACTCAATAATAAATTAAAATATTCATAACTTGTAAATAGTGTGATTTCTTTCTATTTTTATAGATATATTGTCGATTATCATTCCTTTGATGTACACATACACATATAGATATGTATGTCTGCATGTATATTAGTTGAATGGGATAAAGGTGGTGGCTTTTCACATATAGATACTAAATTCAGCAAATTGGTAACGAATTGGCATCCAGCAGCTATGATCCCAATGAACAGATCGATAATGGCTGGATTGAGAACAGAAACCAGACCAGAAACGTAATTATAAAAATAGAGATGAAGGATGTGTAATGCAGAGAGTATTCAAAGGAGGCTGAAAATAAAATGGATGTCTCAACAATTGTTTTCAAATCAGAGAAGCCCATCTCTTTACTCATAAAAAGAAGTGTAAGAAATTTTATTATCAATGAAATGTCAGTGAAACAGTAAACAAACAAACAACAATTTATCTATACAACAGGGTCCATGATCAAGCTTCAAAATTCAAGGAGATCATGGACAAACTCTACATGATTCAGATTTTTTTTTTTTTAAACCAGCACTACATGATTCAGATTTACTGTAATCTATAGAAAAGAATTATTAAAATTGTTAAAACATAAGCAAATATATGGGTGGGTTAATTGTAATCATCAATTACAGTGCGTCTATGTTATCTGCTCAACTAAAATAATTAGTAACCACTATGCCTCTTGAAATACATAAATCATTATGTTGATCACTGCAATCTACTGATGTTTACCATAAATTTTTGTTATATACTCTCAGAACCATCACAACTTGTCCCACCAATGAACAAGCTTTGACCTGTTAATATAGATTTTGTGCTGAGACTCGGATTACTGATGCTTTCTATATGGGGTGAGGAAAGGCCCCTGTCCTTAGAAGAGCCACTGTCTGTTTTGCAGCTTGAAGGAGATTGTTTCAAAAGGCTGTAAGGGGAAAAAATAGTTTAATTAGATCCAAAAATCTTGTAACATAATCCCAAGACAATTCATGATGCTTCATCCCATTTGCCAAAATCGATTACTAACTCAGAACTATAGTTATCTCATAAGTCGCCAAACACTCCTGTGCACATCAAAATCAATTATGAAATTAAAAAGTTGATAACAGTAACTTGTAAGATAACCATGGTTTTGGATTCATAATTGATTTTGGCAAGTATAAAGGCGTTTGGTAACTTATGAAATGATTGATTTTGGCATGTATGGAGGTGCCTGCTCATAATTGATTTTGGCATCTATAAGAATGTTTAGCTATTTTTCAGGAAAACTATGGTTTTGACTCTTATAATACAATATCCATATTTTTTCGGTGATAAAAGTAGCAATGCAGTACCTTGCAAAGTCAGATCCAAATCCTCTGAAGTTTCATACAAGTTAGAGCATAATTTTCTCACCATCTCAACCCTTCACTGATATGGCATGGCTTTGGTTCAACTTTGGCAGTGGAGGGTTTAGATGGAAGCGTATTTACATTTTGTTTCTTATGAAACTTTGAGGATCCCAATCTCACCAGCTAAAACTGCCACATCTTACCAGAATTAACGTACTTAGCACCTTAAGCATCTAATATCAAATTGAATCAAACTTTTCTCTACAAGTATTTTCTGAATTACTCACCTAAACTCAAGTAGTTTTACTTTCAGCATAGCCAACTAACTGACTTTAATATAGGATGCACGTATTGTATTTTCAGTAGGCAAATAAACTGAAAGGATAATGTAACCAAAGAAAAATTAAAATAAGTTAGAACAGTAATTACCCCTCATTAAATATGAGTTTTGCAAGACTTCATGTTCTGCCATTTTTACTAAAAAAACAGCCAATGCTTCTTTTTGGGGACAACAGAAGGAACATCTGCAAAATCAATGTATGATTAGGAGAAAAGAGCTTCTTTCCATGGAATATATCAAGCCAAATTCGTAAAACCAATTCCCAAAAAAGGAGGAAAAAATCACTAATGTTAGGGTTACTACCTGCAGTTGCGTACAACGAATTATAATGCACTTCACTCCAAAAGCTTAGCCAAAGCTCTACAGTTTCCAGAGGAAAAAAAATGAAAATCACGAATAACCTCAATAAAGGAATCCAAACACATATATAACACTGAATTAGGGGCTGGCATTACTTGCTAATAAGGAAACTCTTAAACATTGCACTAAACATTGAGAAAGAAAGGAAATGCAAATCTCAGGCTCTTCAAAGATGTAACTATTCAACACAGCCTTTCCCTCTATCCATATCCAATCAATTAAATCACGACTGTAATGATAACAATCATTCAAACATTTTAACATCACTACCGTAAACAAACTTGTTGAAAGTGAAGATAACATTCCCAAACCAAATTACTTGATAAAAATGTGTGTGGCAGAGTTTACGATAGAGATACCTAAGTTGTTAAACCCAAAAAAAAAAGGAAAAAAAGAAAGGGAAAAAAAAAAAAACTTGCAATACTTGCCTTTAGTGGGGTTTTTGTCAGTGGGACGTATCTCAATATAGCAAGTGTCTTTAAAAGAGGTGACTAAACAAATTTTGGCGCCAAACTGTACAAAGAGACACAAGTAATTAGAAGTCACTTGCAAGAATATGAAAAAATAAAAAATAAAAGGGACAGGACAACATGTTAAGACTTAAGACAACCATTCTAACTCTGATGTCAGCGCGATTGATGAAATTGAGTTTATAAGGTTAGCAAGAAACAGACCCATAAGCACACCTACTGCAGAATTTAGTCTACGAGTGAGTATTATCTTTTGTTGAATTGTATTTAATTGATAAAAAAGGAAGCAAAAAGGTCTCCACTTTTGCAACAAATGCAAACTCCCAATCCTATCAGTTCATATAGAAGGGAACATCGTAGGAATCAGCCGATGTTGACTGAAGTTCGTAGTAAAGTGTAAGAATTACAAGCGGTGAAGAGGGCTTGAAAATTTCTTTCCATTTTCACGTAATCTTAATAGTATGGGTCATAACTACCATCTATCTCTCATTCAGCTGGTTACTTTGTGTAAGATAAAGCAATCTTAGGGTCCCAGAGATTTATGCAACTGCTGAGCTCCTTTCAGAATCAGAATTATTACTTCAACACAGAAAGGCAAAAGGATCACTTAACTACCAAGTCAGCATCAGTCAACACGATTTACCTCGCTGCTAAGAAGTGAAGAATAATTTAATATGCACAGAGGGAATTTTTGTTACAGAATAGGTTTGTCACACCTGCAAACCCATCAAGGGTCGTGCATAGCATGGCTGATGTGAGAAGCAGGGGGGAGAACAAGTCAGAAACAAGCCTGATACTAATGTGTAATGTCCAACTCAGGTATCAACAGCCACACAAATAAAGAAGTGATTTAGCCCCTCCTACTTCCTCATAGAAGTATTATTTCTGAATGCAATCAATATGCACACAGATTCACATATACATGATTTTTTCTTCTTGATTTCAGTATTACAATGAGCAGCTATGTGATAACATTTATTAACCAGAATGACAAGTTTGCTCAAGAGAAGATTAACATTAGACAACTTACTCTATCTGCAGCCGCTTGTAGAGTTACATGGTCTCCCCACTCCCCTGATCTATAGGCAAACAACGTTCAAATATCAAATTAGCACTCACCCTCAGTATTACATGGTCTCTAATGTAGCAGGAAGAAAACAAAAATTGATCACAACTGATTTCTAACTTTTTCATCATCTTCAGGTAGCTTTTGTACTTCATTGGTACATAACCTTCATATAACTTTCTGTAATGCTTTAGCTGAAGAAACAAGAGATAGAAAAATTAACAAGGAGAATATCAATGTGGAATTAGACAGAAGGAAACATCTATCCACACAGAAACAAATTTCAGTTAAGACCATCCATACTGCTGACACAAACAAAGATAACCAAGGGAAGAGCACCATAGAAGGAAAAGGAAAGCAGCATCAAACTTTAAGATGTACTCCCTCCAGTTCTTTTTATGAGGACCTATTAGCTACTTTACGTAGATTATGAAATTCAGTTAAAGTTGGTTAAATAATTTCGATCAAAATTTACTAATTAAAGAAGCTTGTTTGGTTAGTTAGGAGTTTGTTAAGGGACATCAAAGCAAAGGACATTTAGAGAAAAAAATTAATGTTTCAGATAAAGGACATTATATTAAGAAGCATGAGGAAGGCCTTATAATAAAAGACCGAACAGAGCAACATATTTCCAAAGCACTAGCCGTCTCTCGTTATATTTGCTTTTCTTTCTCTCTTTACCCTCACGGTCCATTGGACTGACCACCATGATACGATCAGCAAAATATTTACAAGAAGAAATGAACATATGCAGCTATCAGAACAGAACCTTTTAGAAGGAAACTATCTACTAAAGCCTATTATCTAATTCATATATTATCATGTTTGACTCGACAAAGATTCAAATAACCACCAAAGCGAATGCACTAGAAGAGTATGCCCCAATAAAACAATACAGCTATGCCATACCTGCTTAATAACCTGCCTCCTTACATGCTTGTGATACTCAGGATTGCGAAATAATTGATCTGCTAATGCTCGAAACTGCTCAGTAATATTTCACAGAATGTATTTAATATGATCAGCAAAATAATTGATCAAAGCACACAACAGAGGGACAAATGAAAACCAATGTATTAAAAGTTCGAAGAAGTTCAAAACCTGGCAATTCCCATCACCCTCCATTTGTAGTTCTGCTAAATCATACGTGGCTAACCTGGAGAAATTGATGGAGAATAGTCAATAAAATACCTTGTACACAAAAATCAATTAAACATCGCAGTTTTACTGCCATTACACTCGCATAATTAGAATGTCCCATAACCTATCAACCCAACTTCCTAATTAAATTTGAGCTAACATTACTTGGTGTTGCTAACACACATCTGTAGAAGTAATTGCATGAGATTAACAACCCAAAAGAAAAATTTCCTATCTTCATCCTTCTTCATCGTTATATAGTAATTAGCAAGGCTCAGGAGATGAGAGGTAGTTTGGTGCTCAAAAAGGAAAGTGATACAATAAGAAAATGATTTTAAATAGAAAATATTCTCGATACAATAAGAAAATGATTTTAAATTGAAAATATTCTTCATGTTCTTAATTTGAAAGAAAAAAATTAAGAAGCGAGAAAGGACAATTCTAATTTCATGCAAAGGATGGGAAAAGGAAAAAGAAGAAGAAATGAAATGGGAGTTATTTGCTGCATTATTTAAGCAATATTAATGATAATTGTGCATCAAAGAAGCATATACAACCTTGCAGACAGCCTCTCGTGATCTAGCGTAGCGTCATTCACATCAGGAATCTCTCCATTAATCCGAGGAGTGTGCTGTCAACATATTTGAATTAGTGTTCTGGCCCAAAAAAGGCAACGGTGAACAATTGCAGAAAATACATTTCTTTACAAGGGTAGTGGACAGCCTTATATGCAGCGATACAGTATAACATTAAAAGGATTTTAGAACATTAGCTCAATACTTATAGATCCCACGTTTTAAAATTCCAGTCAGGTTCTAAATTTGCATAAAACACGTTCCTGAATTGTCCTCTACAAAACAATTAGGTTAGGGAGAATATCCGAATGGTATTCAAAAGCATTGATTGCAAATCCTTTAATAGCCGACTTGTACCAACTCCAAAACTTGTCAACAGTCCACAACCATGAGGGATGGTAATAGATGGGTTTGACATGAATAATACATGGATAAGCACGTAAAAAAATGCAACTCTAACATATTAAGTCCAAATCCAGCCATAATATTTAGGAAGGTATCAATCAAAGGAGCCTTATGATGTTTGAACAACGACTACATCTGGCACCACTAACAGTCAATATACAACCCCATATACAGTTTACAAAAACTACGAGCAAAATAAAATTATTTATTTTCAGATTCTTCCAGGTTTTGGTTACACAATGGAACAGGAAAAGTCTAGCAGTTGAAACCTTTAACACTATGAGGCAGCAGGGTTTTTTGTGTAACTTTGACACAAGTTTGTAGTAATTTTTTCAAGTAAAATCAGTTATTGCAAAGAAAACACGCCTCCAGCTAAAAATGAAGAAAAGAACAAAACAAATTATATAGCAGAATTTTAGCAAGTCAAAACCTTCTTTGAGAATTTTCTCCGTTTTTTATGAAGATATTGTGGTAATTGTAGGTTCCTAGAATTTGGAAGTCGCAAGGCAATGAAGAAGTGACTGTAAAGTTGGAGATGATGACCAGATTATTAGCAATTTCCACACAGACGAAGGTTGGTTTAACCATGAAGACTTGTGTTTTTTAATGTGAAGGAGCCTATGGAGCAACTCTAATCATTTCATTTCAAGGCAAATTCGAAAATGAAAAATAGAAGCTTACCTGAAGACTGCTAAATTTGCGGTTATTGAATGCATTTTGTTCAAGAAGAATTTTAGAATTTTATAACTTTTCTTTATGCAAAAGGATCCGAGTTCTATGATACATATCAACATTTTTTATTGATCTGACTGTTTATAATATTTAGGTGATATTTCACTTTTATCTATAGGCGAGTTAATGTTGCCTCTTCTTCAATCCAAAAGTCCCCAAAACTTCTATATCCATGGTAGAGACAGTATCATTGGCTCTCTTGACTAAATCTCTAGAAATGCAAACATACCTGCATATCACTTTTTATTCCCATTGAAACTTTTAAGTACTTGGATACCAAATGCATTCATTAGGTGCACGTCAAGACAGAAGAAGCATGACCAGAGTTAAAGAAAAGGTTTCAAGGCAATTCACTCCAAATGTTTCCACATTCTGATGCTGTCCCCCACCTCAAAAAAGTTAATGCCATTAATTGAGTCACATTAGTCCAAACTATTCTAAAGGATTTTTTTTTTTGTTTATTGATTTTTTATATGAATATATAATACATAATTTGAAAATAATTCCTATATAGTCAAAGCAATATATAAATTAATATTATTTATGGGTCCCTTTTCCCAGCAAATAAATATATTATACCGGTGATAAAAGGAAAATCCTCCAGACCATGTCCCAGATTATCCATTTTTATGGATTTTATCCTAGGAAGATAGAAACAGATGAAAGTGCTTGCCTGATGCATCTGACTGCATAAGAAGTGCATTTATTACATAAATCTCTAACCCATGTTAACCAGGAAGGCTTTCATTGAATCCGCAGTCCTGATGGACGCATTAGCACAAAGAAAACCCTCTTACTGCAATATTCTCTCAAAGAAAATTGTCCACTACGCGTTTCACATATAATCAACTTTTAATTTCTAGTCAAATTGAAATTGAGTGTAACAGCATTCGCAGAGATGGAACCCAAGTAAGTACAAAATTAAGAACCCGATACTTCCTTCCGCAAGAAAGCAAGGATGCGCAAATATCATACCGGAATAGAATCCAAATGGGACAGTCGTTTCCCAAGCTTATTGTCGGCTTGTGAATTTTCCTTCTGTGCTAATATGCTTGCAAGGGTGTGATCTTCCTCCGTATCCTGCAAGCTGCTATTCAAGCTTGAGCTCGAGCTAGCACTTGCAGTCCTGTGGGTTTCAGCCATAGTATTTGCTAATGAACTTAAAAAACAACCTGCATATCAGTACATCAATAGTTTCAGTGATGAACATCACCATAGTCAAATAAATTTAAAAACTTCAAAAATAATAACAAAACAAAAATAGCATTGTGTATATAATATAACTGACAAGAGAACAGAAAATCGAAATGAAATGCCCAATAAAGCCCCAGCTGAGAAGAAAAGGAAAACGCAAACAGAAGCAACCCCCACACCCACCACGAAAGCTGAAAAAGATCAAATTTTACAATAAAATTGAAGGCTGAATAGGAGATCAAATTCAAAATAAGCCCATTTAGCGAAAACAGCATAGACTTGATCAAAAGTGTGATCAAACCATGGCTTACCTAATCCGGAAACGATGAACAGAGAACGAGTCTTAGAAGGATGCAAAAGAAGAGTAAAGAACGAAAGGTTTGAATATGTATAAGAAGGAGGAATGAAGTTACCGAGAAGCCAAGTAAAAGGAGAGGATTGAAAGTTGCTTTGCTGAAGATATCTATCACAGACAGGAAACCGTCAAGCAAGAGCACCAGCGGGTAAGGACTTGCACGACACCGTGTTAATTCAACTGTCAACAATCGACACCGTTTCTTTGGATTATTCTTGTGCTTATCCTTGCCGTTATCCTCATTATTTTATCATTTTACCAAGAACAATTATTGCGCAGTCCAGTCCTTGGCTTGGATTAGCGGTAATTATGTGATCATCATTTTTATAAATGTCATCTTCATGATCATTATTGGATACATTTCTTAAAGGTGATTTTGACGATTTTGATAATTTTAGTTTTCATTTATTATAACCAACTATGAATGTATAAATACTTTAAAAAAATATGAATTTTAAAGAACAAATTATTTTTCTTAATTTTTAATTTAGTATTTATGTATTTTTTCTCTTAATTAAATCATTCACTTTGCTCTATCTATAAAGTATTAACACTGTGCAAATGGAAAAAAAAAATTAAATGATTCGATTAAGAGAATACACATGGGTACCAAATTAGAAATCAAGAGAAAGTATTAGTATTTTCAAAGTGGTTTTTCCCCATTTTAAACAATGTCCATAATTATATTTAATAACTATTATTATTAAATACTACATCCAATCTTAAATATAAGAGTTTATTTGATATTTAATTTTTGTTTTAAAACCTTAATATATTTTGTCTTCTATATTTATTTATTTATTTTTATTTATTTTTTTAAAGTAATTTTATGGTGATTATACAAGTTAAAAGATTTTCATTCTCATACCCAGTATTTTAGATAAAACAATCCTTATTTATGATAAATAACTAATTTAACTAACATTTTTAATATTTATAAGTTAGTTATGTACTCTTATAATAATAATCTAGAGCATAATTTAATAAACGACATGAATATTTAAATATTATTTCAATTTTATAATTATTATTTAAAAATTTAAATAGAAGATATCATCTTTAAAAAAAAATTTAATTTTTTTCTTATATGAAATGGGCTTTTATCATGAGATAATATCAAAAGGTATTTAGATAAACAATTACATGTTTACTACATAACTAATTTAATTAATTTTTTTAATATTAATAAATTAATCATCAACACACGTATTCAGGACCAAATGAAATATGATTTTTTTTTTTAAATTATTTATTTAATAAGAAAACGCCGCTTTTTTTTGGGGTACAATCGTTAATAACTAGACACCGTATTTATGTTCAATTGTTCGCGTCTCACTGTCACGTCAAATATCCGTGTTTTTAATTTTACCCTTTTGACTTGATATTCTATTCCAAAGGACAAATTATTTCCTTCTTTTTTTTTTTTACCAAAAAGGACAAATGATTCCAAAATACGAAATTTTGTCTGCTCAAAATATTAATTTTCTTAATCATTGTCCATATTCTATTTTGCTCGATGAAATTAAAATAGTGTGATCATCATTAATATTAATTTATTATTGAAGTTTGATTTCTTAATGCGGCTATTCATTTTTGCCTTTCTTATCTTCTTCATCCAATTTATTTTTCTTTTGTTAGAAAAATTAATCCAATGATTATCCCATATATTTGAAGATGGAAAAGAATGTTCTTTTTGATAGCCATTAAAAAAAAACAATGGTCATTGAATAAAAATAAGTTCAGAAAGTTCATTTTAATAATTATTAATATTAATTCTTAGTTTTCATCAATTTTTTAAATTTTTACTCATAAAAATAATAATATTTTTGGCATACAAAGGGTTCAAAAGTCGAAAACTATATGGTAAAAATTAAAATATGAAAAAAAATTAATCACATATTTAAAGTAAAAAAAATTAGATACAACTAGATTTTGAATGTTATTTACTTCTAATGGATTATAAGGGATTAATGTTTAACAATCAAATTTTTATATTTAGAAGTTAATTTGTATTATTTGCAAGTTGAATTTAAAAATTAATATATACAAACTAAATTTTTATATTTAGTTGCCAAATGACATCCTTTAATTAAATTTATAAATATTAAATCTATTAAATATATTATTGTTATATAGAATTCAGAAGACCTGTTATGCGGGGGGGGGGGGGGAAAGGAATTTAGAAGACCTACTTAAATTTATTTTTTTCACGCGGGGCGTATAGATAATTGTGTTGTTACTATAATGATTTTAAAGCCTCATTGTTGGCCAAGAAAGAATAAAATAACACCTGATCATCGTACATACTCAATAAATCTTAGACTGAGGGTTGTTTGGTTAAAAAAATTATAATTTTAAAAATAATTTTACGATATATAAAATAAATATATAAAAAAAATTTGTTTCAATTTATAAAAAATATTCTTTAAAAATGTCTTGGGTGAACCAAACATCCCCAAGCATTGTCTCATTATACATTTGGAGTGACAAAGCGTAACAAGTACTTTTCATGTTCTAAATCCAAGACTTACTTTATGGTTTTATAGTGTACCTATAAAATAAGTTTTAAAGTTAGAACAATGGTGATGAGAAGCATCAACTGTAGAAGTGGACATCAATATTTAAAAATAAGAAATAAGTACCAAAAATAATCACGTTGTTCACTTTTGCGGAGGCAATAAATTAGAGAAGGAAAAACCTTAAAAGGGCACTTGTTTATATACTCAACTACTATCTCCAATTCTAATTATAAGATTTTGTTTATAAATTATAAATAAAGTTTTATAATTAAGATCAGAAATAGTAATTAACATTGTGGACCCAAAAAAGAATATAAAAAATTTCATTAAATATTTATACCCTATGCATCTTTCTTTGATGTTTTTGCCTCAATCCATGAAAACCTTATCATTTGAATTTAATTCCTCATTTATCATATTTTTCTTCTTTGTCTCATCCATTTTTTCACATATTTATTTTTAATTTGTATATTTCGTTCCTTATTTTTACTTTATTTTGGATTCTACAATCAATTTAATTCTGGGATTTTTAAATTTTTGGTTTTAATAATGTCATGGGATTTGTTCAAATAATATTTAAATAAGGTTAATTATACAAGATTTAATTAGGTGTTATTTAATGAGTTCACATCATCACTTGTATGCCGTTTATAACATTTTAGTAGATTTTAATATCATTACACTTCTGGAGACTAAAGTTTTAATACGGGTTAAAGTCCAAGCATTAAAACTATATATTTAAAATTTGATATACTAAAATCAAAATAAGTCAAAATTTTGAGGACAAAAATTATATTGATCTTTAAAATAAAAAAAATCGGAATTCTATAATTGATAGTATTCAAATGCCAATTAAAAAGAAAAAGAAAAAAAGCAATTTAACTTCAATTTTTAATCATAGACCTTTTTTATAATTTTTTTTTTAATAACAATGGATAGTATGAATATTTGTAGCATTTTTAATCATACTCGGAGGTTTGAAACCTTGTTTGTTAAGCTTTAAAAGAAAATGGAGCGAACCACAATTTACAAAGAATTAGAAAACAACTTTGAATGAAAGGAAGACAATTAAAAAGAACAAAAGTTACCACCTTGCTTTAACTCCTTCATTATCCACATTCGGCAATAAGATCAAACAAAAATAAATAAGAGTCGTCAATTACAACGAGAAGAAGGCAAGAAGCTTTCAATAAAAAAAGGGGTGGAGACAGGGCATGGAAGCATTGTTCTGGGCTACCTTTAATAGTTTTTAATTTGATTAAATTGAATTAAAAGAAAATAAATAAGCTTAATCGCATGATGGTTAATCAGGGGTTAACTCGCCGAGTTAACTGAGCTTGCATTTTTGTTGATAACAAAACATTAATCAACTTGCCTGATTTAGTTAAAAAACTACAAGTCAACTAAATTAGTTAACTAATTTATTTAATTTTTTTTATCTACTTAAACTAGTTAAATAGATTTTATATTAAAAATTAAAAGAATACTAACAGGAAGGCAATGGCATGTAATGTGGACGGGAGGCAATGGCATGTAACGCGGAGGGATAAAAATGACAAAAATGGTCAGGGTCCAGGGCGGAGATTTCGAAAACCATTGTCATATGTAAACAGGCACTAAAATCAGGCACTAAAATATCAGGGCCCTGAATGTTGATGACTTGAAAGACTGATGAGGAGCCGATGATAGAGTCACTTTCTGAGAGTAGGTGGCAAGTGGCGGGCGGGTAGTTCACCCTCCATAAATCTGCTCCCTGCCTTCACTTTTCCTTTCTTTCTCTATCGCCACCACACTGCGAAGCTAGAAAGGAAGAGCTTCATCTACCTTCTCTTCTGCAAGTGGTGCCGTGTGTGGCCACTCAATCTGCGCTTAAATTCTCAGATCTTCTACGTTACTACGCCCTTGCAATCTGATCCCACCTCAACGCCTTCCCTCGCTTCCTGAATCTACCACTTAGCCACAAACCAGTAGGTGAAGCTCGAAACTCAAGTTTCAACTGGCTTTCATTTTGACTTGTGATCCCTCCATTTGTTTTTCTTCACGTTCTGAGATATTAAATTGAACGGGGAAGTAAGGAAATCATGTTCTCCGTTAGACCCATTTTCCGGGCACACCAAAGGCCCATCTTTTCTCTGTTGCTTCATTCTTCCTATACTTCCTCTGCCGCTGCAATTCAAGCTGAGAGGACTATCAGAGAAGGCTCCAGAAACGATTGGACACGAGAGGAAGTAAAATTCGTCTACGACTCTCCCATACTCGATCTTCTCTTTCATGGAGTAAGCTTCACCTTTTATTTTACGTCCTGGTTTTTCCCCATTAATAAAGCTTTATTGGGTTCGTGAAAACACTAATAGATTATTACTCTTTTGGTGAGTCTGAGCTGAGGTTGCTTTATAGCAATTATTCTTAAGACTGAGGCAAAATTAAAATTGTTATCCTTTAACAATTTTATGTATTGAACTTCTATCTACATGCTTGTCCTTCTTGACTGCTAACCGGTTTTGAACCCCAATTGCTAGCATTTTACTGAAGCTACTACTCCTATACTTTATCAGGCTCAAGTTCACAGACATACTCATAACTTCAGGGAAGTACAACAGTGTACTCTCCTGTCTATTAAAACAGGCGGGTGTAGTGAGGACTGTTC